CTCCTCATTAAAAAAAAAACAAGACAGCATTTGATTAGTAAAGCCTATTCTTTCCCCCAGTTTTTATTTTCCGGTCTTTACTTAGAAAGTATAAATTCATAAGAAAATAAGAAATCTTGTTATGCTATAAAAGTCTGTGTCTGGAACAAGAAATTACAAATATTCCATTTGTTTTAATAAACAAAAATGTCTTCCTTCCCAAAATGTAAACATCCAGTAAATAAAATACACATGGTATTCCAGGTATAGAAAAACACTAGCAATTCACTTATGAAAGAGGTGCATCCTGGTATATTTGGTAGTAAAGCATTTGTCCTAAATATAAAGCACTTTCCCAAAAGAACCAGGATATTATGGTTTAAAACTCTCCTCTTTCACCTAGTTTCCTTATTTGGGTACAAACTCTTCAATTTCTATAAAATTTTGGCTAGAGGGCCAGGCCACAGGAAAGGTCTGAAATATCTAAAAGTCATTTGGTTAGAGAAAATTGTTTTCTTGACACGTGGAGGCAGTCATTCATTCATCTGTTTGTGCTTGAAGGCATTCCTCAGCAAACTTCTTCTCTAAAGTCTTCAGAGTAAAGCACAGGATCTGGGCTCCCGGAAGGGGTTGCTTCCAGCCGGAACACCAACCAGCAGCGCATCCTTGCAGGCATTCTGCATGCAGTACTGCTGAAGCTCTGCTGCAGCCTGAGAGACCTTGATCCTCTCCACGCCCGCCTGCCTCGAGCTTGAGCTGCTCCACCAGGCGCTGCAGGGTGCTAACGGTGGCCCTGGAAGACATGGCTGCGGCAGCTCTGGGCTCCCAAGACTAGTTCTTAACTAGTATATTTTATTCTATGTTGTGGATGTATCCCCCAAAGTCCATGTGTTGGAAACTTAATCCCCAATGATGCAATTTGGGAGGTGGGGTCCAGGGAGAGGTAATTAGATCATATGGTTTCTGCCATAGATTATATGTTCTTTATAAAAGCACAACTGGGACCAGCAGTTAGCGTAATGGCTATGTCGCTGGACTCCCACGTAGTCTACCGCGGTTCAAGTCATGAACCCAGTGGCTTAAACTCACACCGGGCACGTGTGTGTGCGTGCCCAAGTTCCCGATAGGAGAATGGAGGAGAAGGGATTGCGGCGTGGCCATCCCCCCTGGGGGGTGATTTCTCTCTTTCTGTCTCTA